CCATTTAAAGAGACAGTGTAAGATTGTTGCCCAGGAACAATATGTACTCCGAGTACTTCTGTTGCCTTCTGAAGCTGAAAATAAAACGGTTGCAAACAACTGATGTCACAGAAACATTATTAATACATGGATACAAACTCAGGCTCATTTACCAGAATAACATGTTATAGAGATAAGTTTAAAAACAAAAATAGCAGGTCTGGTGTGTTGCGTTTTGTTTTTTTTTAGTGTTACAGACCACTGAGGTACTCCAGAATGAGATAGAGCTTCCCTCCCGTCTGGAAGGCGTAGATGAGATCAACGATGAAGGGATGCTTCACTTCCTCCAGAATGTTCCTCTCTGCCTTGGTATGAGCCGTGTCCTTAGCGTTACGTACAATCATAGCCTGGAAGCCGGAAGCACAGGGAAGTAAAATCAGAAAAAAAAATATATAAATGATATAAATGAATGTAAGATGATACACACACTGCAGGATGATCACTGGATAATTTCTATTGTACTAAAGTACAGCGAGAACTTTGTCTCCCATTCTCCTCTTCTGTGTTAGAGCCTCCCGTCCACATGCTAAGTTTCATTTTGCATGTGCAGATTTAAAAAAAAAAAACATTTTGCAAAGAGATTATAAAACTCCCTCTGTTCATGCAGAAATTGCTACAAGCGATAACATCCTGTTTTCACAAGCTTGTACTTGCTCTCCATGGAGGTCTGCCACCTTTTGCTCTCGTTGTTCTGGCTGTTTTAATTAAAGTTTAAATGTGAGTTAAAGAATGATCAAAGAATCTATGAAAATACAGCATAGATATCACAGCATTTTTGATTAAACTGAGGGAGACTTTTCCCCAAAAAAAGTTGTGAAGTTGTGGTCTGAGACAAGAATCATCTTTTCAATTCATTCTGGTTCTGACACCCCAGAGTGGCTCCTAACCCGGCCTCTGCAGCCTTTTTTTGGAGATGTGAAAGTCCAGATTTTTCATCTGTCGACAGTCTCTACTCTCTGCTGCTTTCCTCACTTCCGTTTACTAAACACTTCTGTCTGACAGCTCACGAGCTGCCTGTCAACAACTCTGTCGTCTCAGCAGCGAGCGTTCAGAGCTGTTGTGGCAGCAACATTAGAGTTGATATTCTTATTCTGAATTTTCAGCCAAATTCACAAAATACAGACACACCCAGAAGGCAACGGATTAAAGTTCTTATTTTTACTACACAGCAACATTATAAGCAACACAAAACTCCCGGAAAACTAAGAAAAACATTATGAAGTTCAGTTGAGAAGCTTCACTTCCGCTATAAATTCAGTGCTTGTCGCCTGGGACTTTTGGACAAGTCTTGACAAACTTAAAATTTCATACGTTCCACAATTGTGAGCCTCTATCAGATCTTTACCGAAAATGGTGTTTATGCTTTCCACTGTTAGGTTTTGCCACCAAATCTCCGCGAGCGTGACGTAGCAGTTCTTTAATATGTCACCAAGGTCGTGGAAGGCAATCCCTCCAACATGAAGCTGGACCTAATGGGCTCGAGTGGAGCATTTAAAGACACGAGGCTGCAGCAGAGCAGCTGGCAGTCTACCAACTAGCAGTGAAATCTTACCCCACCACTGACTTCAGCAGCAGCCCATATGTGCAGACAGAAGCAATGTAATGTTAATTTATAAAGCAAACAGTAGGGTTACATAACCAAAACTGTATCTGTGCTTTTGCTAAAATACAACTCAGAGACAGACTGCAAAAAAAAAAAATTAAATACCTTTTTCAAAACTTTCATGGCAAATATTTTGCCGGCTGCAGCTCCGACAACTTTCCGAACTTGGAAAACCTGGAGAGCAAGGAAAAAAAAAAAAAAATTAAGTGTTCGGAAAAGTCACACAGGCAGTTTTGGGGAAAAACATGGGTCAGCATGACATTATAGAGGCAAAATAATTCACCACACAAGCCGCTCAAACGGCATGTTCACTGGACTCCATACCTTTCCATAGCCGCCTTTTCCGAGGACCCGCAGCAGCTCAAAGCACTCTGGTCTGATGTTCTCCGTCCCCTGATTGACGTTGTCCTCTGAGATCTCGATCTTCTCGCAGTCGTCCAAATTGCTGTAGAGAGAAATGTAAAGAATTAGGCTTCTCTTTTGGACCATTTTAAAAGTAGTGACATAATCGAATACTTACAACTGAAACCCACTGCTCTGATCCATGATGTCAATGTTTTGAGTCTGGGAGGGAGAGCAGAACGCTGATCAGCAAAGAAGACATTAAATACTTTATCAAAAATGTGCATTATTTTCTGGGGTATGAAATCATTGGGCATTTTAAAACTTGTTGAAGTTTGACTCTATGCATTCCTGTGAAGTAGATACTTTTAGAAAAAAGTGATTTTTTTCTTCACATCTATATTTTAAATGTTTAACATTGACTGATTCTGATTATTTTCCTCAGAGAGAATCACATAAACGTGAGACAGTACATACAAGGTAAACATTCATAATGCTAAACCTTAGCCTTATTTTCATCTCAATGAAAAAAACTAAACATGAGATTAAAAAACTTTTTACAATCATGTCACACTCTTTGGGTTAGACGGCTGGACAAGGCATGATTGACGATTTAAATAGAGATCAATTTGTGCGCTAAAACTCTGCAATAGCTGTTTTCCTATCTCAGTATAAACACAAGCTACCGGGCAGCCAGTCCTCAGCCAACACAGCCCCACTCTGTCACATTTTGCCAAAATAAACTGTTGCACACGGAGCCACATTTATCACTGCTGCACCTTTGGCCAAGTAAGGATGTTTTGCACAACCGCTGCGTGACAGCGACGCTGACAGCCTTAACAACGCATAAAACTCACTCCTGAACCGAGCTGTAGTGCCATTAAAAACGGAAGGCGCTTGTTTTGTTGCGTTTGCGACCATGCTGATAGTAAGAAACAGTTTGTGAGGCCCGGACAGACCCCGGCTGCTGCAGCCTGCAGGGCCTGCGGTGGCTGCTGGCGGACGACCAGGCTAACGCTGCTAGCTGTTCGTACGGCGGGGAGTTTCTCCTCTGACAGCCTCTGGTGAAGTACCTCATCGTTCTCGTCGTCGGAGACATTTTCCTCCGGCTGGTCCAGATCGATGTCAAACACTCCGGCCATGGCAGCGCGTCGCTCAGGTTGTTGTGTCACAGACCGCAGGTACAGCAGGCGTCCCCCCACCTCATGGACAAACACGCACGGCCGCCATAACCGGCTACTACACGGAGCAGGCGCATTGCGACGCTCCACAAGGGGGCGGGAACGTCTTGTCTCATATGCAAAGGCACCGCTGCACTAAACGCTGGCACATCTCTAAACACTCGAATGTTGTGGTGAAAGTGAAATATTTATTGCCAGTAATCTCAGAAAGTAGAACTCGTACATTATAGAATCGTCACAAGGGGGTTTCCCCCCCAGAAAACTTGCTCAGCCCGGTGCTCGGGGCGCGAGCGCTGTCTTTCATCCCGCCGCCGCCATGTTTTTGAGTTAAAAAAGGTTTAACGTTGACAGGAAATTTGAAAATAACACTTGATAGTCATGCGTTACTGGAAGACTGGAATATTAATATCTGAACACCAACTACATAGATTTTAAAAAGACAATGACAAAAAAAATAGACAAAACTAAATAAAAAATGCTAAGCCTGGTGGGGCCACAAGTAAAGCCTGGTGGCCTGCCAGGCTTATAATACAACGCTGATCACACATAGCGTTGTGTGATCAACGCTATAATCTAAGCTTTTATTCTAAGCTTTTGTTTCTGGTGATTGTGGTGATTGTGGCTTTACAAATAATGAAAACTGAGTATCTCAGAAAATTAGAATATTGTGAAAAAGGTAATTGATGGAAACTCAAGGTGTCACACCTTTGTCCATTAATTAAGTCAAAACAACTGAGGTTGAGTGTTTCCTGAGCCTTTAAATGGTCTTTAACTTCGTTTTAGTAGACACTAGACAATTAGTCTGACTGGACAGACATCCAGAAGAGAGTCATTGATGCCCTTCACAAGAAGGGTAAGATACAAAAAGTCATTGCTGAAGAATCTGGTTGTTCACAAAGTTCTGTATCCAAACACATTAAAAGTAAATTGAGTGGAAGGAAGACGTGTGCTAGGAAAAGGTGCACTAGCAACAGGAAAAACCACAGCCTTGAGATCAGTATTCATCTGTGTGTCCATTCCAGGCACTCTGATGAATACTAGTTATAGGCTACCAATGTTGCATTTCCCTTGTATGCTTCAGGAGCCACTCCTGAAGCAAAGACAATGTCAGAGGTGTCTCACCTGGGCGAAGGAGAAAAGGAACTGGACTGTTGCATAATAGTCCAATTAAAGGTATCAATTAAAGCAACCTGGGCTTCCATTACACCCACAGTGCTACAGGCTGATTGTCATGTCATGGCGCATTGATGCAGTAATTTATACAAGAGGAGACCCAAACAGGTATCGAGGTCTCATGCCTCCTCTGATTAGATGCTGCCGCAGGGATTGCCCATGTTACCCATGCACAGCATGTTTAGATTGAGATCGAAATCCATCTTTCTTCCCTGCATTCACGCAAATATAAGTTTTAAACACATAATCAGATGTCAAACATCTCAAAATTGTCCTTATAAATAGTCAGGAAGAAAGGCTCTCTGGACAATACTAATTTTGACTACAAATGTTCTAAATATGCATGATAGTCTTGATTAAACAATAAATTTACCTTATTGGTCAAAGAATAATATTTTTTTTCTTCCACTGAATCTTTTTTGTTTCTTTGTAAGGCTATAAACAGAATAATAATAGTAAGGGCCTGGTTAAATGAGGAGCAAACAGTTAATAATACAATAAGTGTTTTTTTCTCAATCAAGCAAGCTGGAGATTAATTATGTCATCAATTTTTATGCTATGAAGTACACTTTAAAAAAACAAAACTCAAAAACATCGTTGTATGTCAAATGACATCGAATCTATATTTTATTTTGAAAACGTTTGATAGTTGAAGCCGGAAATGACGTATCAACTACGAGCGCCGCTTCCAAAACACAGCCAGAAGTCTGCAAATGCAGCCAAAAAATGGCGTGATTAAGTGACTGAGACACCGCACAGGTCTGACCATGTCTGTGGTGACGGTCCAGCTGGGTCAGTGCGGTAACCAGGTGGGACAGGAGCTGTTTGACGTCATTTGCAGCGATGCTCGAGACGTCCACAGGAAAACGTACAGCGCCGTCAGCCGTGAGCGCTTCTTCCGCCAGACCCCACAGGGAGGTAAGCGAGGCTCCCAGATGACTTCAAATACGAATGATCGCTGCAATGTGGGCACGTTTTGATACAGTCTGTGTGTGTTAGAGCTTGAAGCCAGGGCGGTGCTGTTCGACATGGAGCCCAAAGTGATCAACCACAGCATGAACAAGGCTGCGAAGTCTGGCAGGTGGAGGTACGGAGAAACTTCCCACTTCAGCCAGAAACAGGGCTCCGGAAACAACTGGGCCAATGGGTGAGATGTTCACAAACCACATGAACTGGAATACCATACAGTGCATTGCAACAGCATCGCACCCTTCAACGTTTTTCCCTTTGAAACACAAACTTCTATGCGGGGTTTACCCCAGAAACTGTATTAAGTTTTAAAAACTTCAATAATTAAGCAATGCTAAGCCTGGTGGGGGTGCAAGTAAAGCCTGGCGGTCTGCCAGGCTTGTAATACACTGGAGGGAACCCGTTCCGTGTAATGTCTGGGATTTTAATTGTGAAATGTACTGGACATGATGCATGGTTTTCATTTATCTACTTATTTACTAATCAACACATTGCAAGCTCACCTTTAGCAAAGTAACTCAGCTGGGTTAGGTTGGATGGAGAACGTCTGAACCTCAATTTTCACATTTTAACACAGATTTCATTTTGTTGTGGAGCTTGACAGGTCGTTGTAATATATGGACATTATTTGACCTAACGTGTGTCATTGTTTCTCTGACTTTGTGTTTTATCTAGGTGTCTCATTATAAATAAAAAGGTTTTAAAACCTTTCATTTTCCTTAGATTTCAAAACAATGCACTACCTAGATGTTGATATATCACACATTTAATGCTTTTAAATGCTTTTGAAAAGCATCATAGTTGGCCTTTCATCTCCAGACAAGAGGAAGTTTTCTCATCATACCCACATTATCATCCATCCAGGTATTGCGTGCATGGCCCTCGTCACAGAGACGCGGTGGAGGAGCTGGTGAGGAGGGAGGTGGAGCGCTGCGACATGCTGGCAGGGTTCATCCCCATCATGAGTGTCGCAGGGGGGACAGGCTCAGGAGTCGGTACTTTCATCACTCAGTGTCTCAAAGACGTCTACCCATCGTCGTTTGTCCTTAACCACCTCACCTGGCCATATGGGACTGGGGAAGTATGTCAATATTAATTTACTTGTTACATTCATGGACAAGAGCGAGGCTTGGTTGTATTTGTAAATAAATTCAATCTGACTTGCTGGATGTTGCCTTCAGGGTCAAATCCTGACTGAGAATAACTTCTCCCTGTCTATAATAAACTGGAGTACATACTTGAAATAAATAGGAAACTGAAATCATAACCTTACATCCATATTCTTCCACTGTAGAGTTTTTCATGAAGTCATCTCTCCACACTCCATTCTTCCAGGTGATTGTCCAGAACTACAACTCAGTGCTGACGCTTGCACACCTCTACCAGCTCTCTGATGCCATCCTGGTGCACGAGAACGACATTGTGCACAAGACCTGCAGTCAGCTGCTGAAGATCAAGCAGATCTCTTTCAGTGACATCAACAGGGTCATCGCTCACCAGCTGGGTGGGGTGCTGCAGCCCACGTTCACGCCCGTTTCCTGCGGAGAGTACAGTAGGCATCCTATTGGTAAGAGCAGAACACTCAAGTTTTATACGCAGTCAGAAAGGCCTGGGAATCTGATTTCAGTTTTCAGTTTCTTTCCTTCCAGCCGTGGGTTCTCCTTTCCTTGTATCCTACCGCCGTTCCTGATGTGTTGTCTTTTTAACAGATAAAAGTCTACACTTGAAAGCGTAATTGTTTTAAATTCACAATCAGCTCTTGTATTTTAGATTTTTGAAATTATAATAAGTAATCTGGAAAGTTGAGTTCAGAAAAGTGAAGAAATTTACCTGGAAAAATTTTTAAGAGCCATGCATGCTTTTCTCAGTTGTGGTTCTACAATTTAAATCGTGTGTAAATTGTTCCATAATGTTCTTGTAACTCTTTGATTTTCAGGTGAGTTGATGAGCGCTCTCGCCTGCCACCCAGAGTACAAGCTGCTGAATGTGTGCACCATCCCCCAGATGGCCAGCTCCTCCATCGCCTTCAGCACCTTCAGCTGGCCGGCGCTGCTCAAACACCTGCGGCAGATGCTAATCTCCAACAGCAAGATGGAAGGAGGTGAGATTTCAGTCCAAAAATAGAATTATAGCTAGCTCACTCACCATTAGTAGTACTAAAAGGAAAGTCTATAATCTCTGAGTTGAAGATAATTTTTTTGTTGTAGGTATAGACTGGCAGGTCTGTCCACCTCCAGCGTCAACAGGGCGGAGCAGGATTCTCTCAGTTGGCAGCTTCAACACCTCCCTGGCCAACCTGCTCATCCTGAGGGGAAAGGATGTCTACAGTGCAGAGACGGGTCAGAGAACACGGCTGAATTTGATACGGATTCATGAAGTGGAAGAAAAAATGATTGATGGTTTTCTTCCACACTGAAGTACTGTGTCCAAGTGTTGAGCCCCATTAAGTCAGACATTGCTAGATAAAGTCCAGAGGAACAGTTTCACTACAGAAGGCATCTGGTTTTTAATGATACCCCGTCTTTGTGGAAGCCATATTTAAAAGAGAATACTGTTTGCAGTTGCAATATTAGCAACTGGTGAGATTAGGCCGAATTTAGGGTTTTTGGCAAAGGTGCAAAAAAAATGGTCATCCTCTTTGAACACTCTATTCCCTAAAAATGGCGGTCAGACCTTCCAGTGGGAACACAAACCTAAACACATAGCCACTGCTACAGCAGACTGACCTGGATCAAAGCCTATTCCTGTGTTGAAATACTCCAGACAAAATACAAACATGATGCTTGTCATTAGTATTCTGTGGTACATTTAAAAATTGATGTTCACAGATGCACTGTGTTCAGTCAAAGAAGTCTGGGCCAACATATTGGTCTAGATGTGCAAAGAATGAAAATGTCCTCTTAACTAGACTGAGGCCAATCAAGTCCTTCCAATATTTATCGATATTAAAAAAATAGAAGATTAATTTTTGCCATCCTAACTAGGTTAAATAATTTTAATCAAACTGGGTTCTCGTTTTGCATTATGTTCATTATTTTTTGTATTTTAAGCAAACATACTGATACCCACCTGAATTGAGGGTAACAGAGTGCAGGGGGTTTTCGACAAGATTTAGTTTTGGTGTGTCTATCAAAAAATATCAATTTACGTTTTTAGCTGTAAATTGACAAAACGTTAAGAATAGTTTTGAACAGCACTGCATCAAGAAGTGCCTGAGTAACGCTGTAAGCAAATCTTTAACAGGTGTGAATTCTGTTTTTATCCCCAGGGGGATTTGAAGACTCATCTATTTATACTTCATGGCTTCCATCAGACGAAGCACTTAGCTTGTGGAAATCTCCCATTCCCTTCAATAAGTATGAGAAGTCTGCAACATTAGTTAGTAACAGCCAGGCTCTGCTCAGACCTCTGGATGACATGGTGAGAAAAGCCTGGAACATGTTTGCTTCCAGGTAAGTTGGACTAGAACAACCTTGACTCAATAAAAACTTCAGTTTCATCATTTCTATTCATCTCAATCCAGTCTAAGTCGGTTAAATAATTAGTCTTGATCAATGGTATTTTTTCCTGCAGGGCCTACATCCATCAGTATGTTAAATTTGGGATCTCAGAGGAAGATTTTCTTGATAGCTTTACATCTCTAGAGCAGGTGATCTCCAGCTACTCTGAGCTTCAGTAGGTCAGCTGAGAGTAGCTGTGAGAGGGGACACCAAGCAACACAATGGACTGATTTTAACTGCATTATTTATTTTGGTAGATGTTTTAAAAAAATTGTATAAATAAAATAATTTGCTTTAGGAACACTGTCGGCGTTTATTTCTTCATACCTTCATGGCTAAAGGTTGTGACTTGCTGAAAGGTTTGATTTTCACAATCTTTACTCTTATATATATATATATATACTAAATACTAAACATGAAATGTTTAGTATTTAAAACATTGAACTTTAAATTCCAAGACATTTGCTATTTTATAGCACAATCAAATAACTGTTACCTACAATTATATATATATAAAAATATTGTATATATTAAAAATAACTTAAAAGAAAAGAACATTTTTCTATTTGATGCTTTGAAATTTGGCTTCTCTCTTCAGGAAGCTCCCACTCTATTTATGATCACAACTATTCTCCCTCATTGTGCTGCTTCCAGCTGTTCTTAGGAGTGTCAGACTGAGAAGTTGCTCCTAGGATGAACTCAGCAGACGTGCAGCTCTGCCAGGTGTTTGCTAAGTGCTGCTGCCTCTAGTCTGAAGGAGATAAATGGGAAAGGTGTGGGGGAGATGGGTTCTGAGGCAGAACCAGTGTGTGAACACACTGGTTTTCCAATTTAACAGTAATTGACAACTATCTTAAGTCAATTATTTTATTAAATGAAGGAGTTCAGAAGTAGAGGATATAATGAACAGAAATGAGGCAGAAGTTGGTTTAAATTTGTGTCCCCGATCTGCTCTCCCAGCAACTGGATCACTGACTTCTCCAATTTTAAATCTCCAAGATGAACAAGCTCATGAATGTGGAAACCTAAAAGTACTGATCAACCTCCAAGGCAAATGTGGACAGAAACCAAACAGTCGGGATCTTTGGTAACTCACTTTATTCGATTTTTACACAGTAGAACTGGGCAGACATGAGAGCAGAGCAACAATGTGACAGGCAGGTCACCTCACGTCCAACAAGTGGACGTGTCGTCTCAACATGGGTTGGGTGGCTGAAAGGCCCACTGCTTCAGCCAGCTTACAGACCGCTGTTGCCATGCAAATGTAACCGCCAACACCAGTCTGATAAGCTAGCTGACGAGGTGGGAGACTAGTTAGGCTAAAGGGGCATAGTCACAGAGCGTCTTAAAGAAAATAACTGATTTCATGCATCAAGAGTCAAACGTCTTAGCTGGTATAAATTGAAGGTTATTTATTGGATTAATTAGTACCAAGAGCCCAATCAGGCTCCTTCTTGTATTGAGGAAATGTATTTCCTCAATACATTTCCTCAGTATTGAGGAAATGTTCCAATCTGATTACTTACCTTGTAGATGCTTGGTTTATTGAGAAAATTATACATTCAAATTATGACAGGAATAGAGCAGTTTTTCAGGATGAACACTTTGGAGAGAAAACATAAAAGAAATAAGACTCAGACTGAAAAAATGTCAATTCCACATTTTATAGATGATCTGACCTAAATGTACAGAATAGAAATGGGACCATTTGCTGAGATTACAACGTTACTGCCTTTTTTTTTTTTTTGTATTTTGTTCACAGCAACAACTGGAATAGAAACACATCTGATCATACAGTCAAAAAACATATTTACACAATGTGCAAACCATACATACCCCACTTTTTAAGTTGATATTGCTTGTTTTTTTTTAACCCTCCCAATCACTTTGAACTGACAAAAAAAGAAAAAATATGTCTGAATATTTACCATAAAAACCCTGAAAAGAAACATTATCCATTTGCAGTTGTCTTGGCAGCACATCGCAAAAATAAAATCAGCTCCCATCCACACATATGTTACATAATTAAATAAAAATCAAGTCCTTAAGTCGAGCTATATTCAAGGAAATTCAGGCATTCCCAACTTGCATAAGGCATAGTATCTGATGGGCGCTGCCCTCAGCATAGCAGCTACCATCAAATCACCGCTTTACTTCTGAGGTTAACAAATGGATTAATTTAACGTTAAAGTAACATCTTAAGACTGCTAGCAGGAGTCAGTCAAGCTACACCCACGCAGAGTGAGATGAGAAGAACTATAAAACTTGACAGAAACAAAACAGCACATACATCCTTGGTAGCACGTGCGCAGACTCTCTCTCACACACACACACACACAGGCATTAAATGCCCGCTTCTTTTTCATCTTAATGCCTTCGGCCTCTCTGAGCAATGAAGATGGGTGAGGTTCGTTGGTAAGTTGTGAGCAGCAGCTGCAGAAACACAGTCACTTGGATGCATGAGGCGCTTTGCTTCGCCATCACTTGCTTTTCTCTTCGGAGTGCCTCAGCTGCTGCAGTCGCTTGGCGTAGCTCTGAGCCATGGAGTTGATGATGGAGATGACAAAGTAGCAAACCATGACAAGCACCACCTTCTCAAACACCCACGACAGCCAGTTGTCATCCTGGAAGACCCCAAATGAACAAAGATATCGTATAAGTTGCACTCATTTCTGCAAACCAGATAATGAGTAGACAAAACCAACTGGTGCTGTACTTATGTGTGTTTATGAGGCTAGGCTAATGAAGCTGTGTTTGTACCTTCTTCCAAGTAAATTATCATTTCTAATACTTATATTAAACAAAATGCTGGTGTGAAGGAAAAATATGTGGGAAGTTGTTTCAGTTACACAATTTGCCCACTGGAGGGCGATATGTTTAGGATCAGAAACTGGATTTAAAATTCTTTCTTTTAATCTGGTTAGAAACATTTACTTTGCACATTTCTAAACTCTGACATAGCTACTCTGCCCCAACATTTCTCAACTTCTTATATCTGCCATATCAAAGCATCTCAGGTTTCTTACATTAATAGACAGGTGGAGGGAAAAATAGAAAAGATTATGAAAGTAAAAACGAATGTTCTTACCACTGGTCCACTCTTTCCAGCATGGTGCAGCTTATTCTTCTGGGCTTCCAGGTACTGACTGAAGGGCTTCTGGATAGATGGTCCTATTGAAGGAACAGACCTGGAAAAGCAAAAGTAGAAAAAAAGACTTATAACTCACCTACCAAGCAGTCCCAATAAAAGCTTTGAAAGCTGGAAATAAAGTCCTGATCCACCGGGCCAACCAGCAGCATCCGAGGCCCCATCCTACAGATGGGCCCCGTGCTGCAGCTGCCACCACCTCTAATTGTTACTGTGAGAAGGAGTAGGCAGCAGAGAGGAGTGAAGCAGAAACTCCTCTGTCCTTCTTTTATATTCTTAAGCCCTCTATAAGAGCCTGTGTCAGCCCCCTTTAACCAGGAAGTGAGTCGACATGATGTCATCACCTTTACCACCACTGGTGCTTTCATGATGGAAAGATAGCCAATCAGTGTCTGCTAATTTCCCTATTAGGCAGGAGGTGAAGCGCTCACCGGGGCCCAGTCATAACGAACACCGCTTTAACGCTTCTCAAGTCTGAGCGAGGATTTGTTGATGTGGCTCTCCACATGCCGGTAAAGTGAAACAGAGCTTGAATGGAACATCTATCATAATGTCAAACTTATAATTACAATGACGAGAAAGAAAATACTGCAGGCTGTAGACAGTCCTCCTGAATTCAGCCAGGATGTAAACGTGTTGTCTAGACTTGACTAGACTAAGCAAAAGGAAGAGCGATAACAAGTACCAAATGCAGAGAGGGTAATTCCTGCTGCTGAATAACACTCAACTTGAGTGACTCAGGGTTATCTCTCCATCTTTACACACAAACAAACATAATTTTAGACAGACATAAAATTAACAAAATACCCAAATCAGCAAAAGGCTCCATTTGTACAAATCATAGCGAGTCATCAAGGGTGATCTTTGTGGGAAAAAACCTTCAAAACTACAAGGCCAGGAAAGAAAATGTTTTTTTGTCTAAATATGGTCAAAGTTACTTGCTTGGTGATTCATATTGATGACCATGGTTTTGTGAATTTCTATTCACATGGTTTTTCATGTTGAAACCCACAAACTTCAATATAATTTATCAGTTTTTATAATGTTTTTCTATAGGACTCATGGCCTTTATTCAAACTTGACAGGAAGAAGCTTGAAAGTCACCTTATGTTTCTTTTTCACACAAAGGTCAAGAGTTGTAGTCAACTGTAGCAGAGCACTTTATCTCTTAATATTGGATCATAGTTTTAAAGTTATATGAAAGAAATCTGCTTGATGAACAGAACTTCCTGAAAAAAACAACAACTTTTGCTTTCATTTCATTTTAAAAAATCCCAGCTAATCCCAGCAGCTACTTTGATTCTGTTGCCTGAACAGCAGGCAGCAGGCGGGTCGCTCAAGTCTGTGCTTGTGTTTCCTGCCTTGTTCGATCATCCCGTCAGTCAGAGCTGAACCCCGTGAGTCAAATCACCCTGTTTGAATGTTGAATGTGACCTCATACTTTTGGCCAGCAGTGCAGCAGAGACAGATTACATATGTGTGTGGGGGTAATACCTTGATTTTTACTCCTATGCAGTGAAAGCATTTATTCATATGGGACCCCCTCCCCCTCGACTGATCAGCAGTCAGAAATGCATGGGAAAATCTTGACGAACGCATTCCTAACCATAAAAACCAAACCAAAAGACGTTGGTTTTACAAAGAAATAAGGTTCTCACACACTTACCCGATGAGTGACACCATTTGCTCCACTATGTGCTTGCTGAAGGTAATGATAACAAAAAGTTTCTGTGGGAGAGAAGATGTTAATTAGCATTTTTGATTGACAAATTACAAAAAAATTATACAAAAGAAATTCACTGGTTAAAAAAAAAAAAAGTAAATTAAAGTCTGTCTTTTTGACAGAACTACCGTTGAACAGCCGACGGTCATTGAGGCTCTCAGACACCAATTAGAAAACTCAAACCTGGCTCTAAAGCAAACGTTCAGGCTGTGAAGGGGTTTGTGTGGTTTGCAAACAACCAAAGCAGAAGGGCGGGGGGCCCAAAACCACATTATTTTCCCCCTCCGGTTCTGAAACTGATCAGCTTTAAACAGCATGACACACAGCCCCCCTGGACAAGATCAGACAGAATAAATCATGTGATGTCTGAGAAGTTCAAGGTACAGAAATGGGTCTCCCCTGCAGCTTTTAAAGTCTGC